GGGAGCCCGATGCGGGACTCGATCCCGGGACTCCAGGATCATGACCTGAGCCGAAGGCAGTCGCTTAACCAACTGAGCCACCCAGGCACCCTATCTTATTTCTTTCTTACACATTTCAAAGGAGGTTGCCAGCATCTAGATTGGCTTATAATTTAGTCATCTAGAATATAAAAGTAAATCCAGAGCAAGGTGGGGCTGGGGCATTCATTAAATTCTGGGCCAAGTTCTTTCACAAACATTTTATTTTGATGCTCACAGCAACATTGTCTGAAGTCAGCACACAGCCCATGTTTATGATTGAGGAAACTGAAGATTGCACATGTTTAAGCGTTTTGCTGAAGATTATACGCTGTTGGCAAAGTTAGGTAGCTCTGGGTCTTTGGACCCAGAATCCATTTTCTTGTAAATTCTGTACACTGCCTTGGAGTAGTTCTGGAAAAGGTTGAGGAACTCGTTCACAATACTATGGCACAATGTTACTGAGTTCCCAGCCTGCAACAGTGAGATTAGAAGATACAAACTGGAGACTCAGGGAGGTACAGGTGCCAGAGTATACAGGGAGGTTAAAGAAAGGTGATGTTGACTGCCCAACTACATAAGAAAGAACTGGAAAACATGCCCACACAGGACCTCAGAGCATAGCTATGGGGCCCCTTTGCAGGAGGGGATGGCAAAGACTACTCCAGAGGAAGCTATCCCCTACTTGCCTCGGCACAGGCTTTACTGATGCCCTGAGTGGTCTGAAAGGATCAGGGGTATTCATTATATTTTGTTTAAGTGGGTCAGTTTTAGATATGTGTCCACTGAAAAGTTAAAAATGTGTCCGTGGTTAGCTTTGTAACAAGCCTCCTGTTGCGTGGTTAATTTTGTGACAAGCCTCCTGTTGCGAGAGGCTGGTGAAGGTAGGTGGCCTGACTTCCTTCCTCCTCTGCCTGTTGGTGCATTTTCTCAGACTGATTAATTTCTCCCAGCCAGTAGATTTGGCTGCAATTCAGAACAGCGTACCTCTAGAGGGAGGTCATTTCCCATCTCTGAGTCCATCTCCTTGTCACAGAGTTGGGTTATAACAACCATCCTTCCTGCCCTGACTCTTGAGTGGTAGATGAACTCCATCTTGCCTGAAAGTGCATTGTGAAATACCAAAGTGACATTCTGCTAGATCATACTAGCAAACATTTCACAACAATAAGGGTCTCTCCAAAGAGAAGATCTATTTTGTTTGCATTTTGACACACTTAGTTAACCTCCCAGCCATCTCAAGCAGGTTTCCTCATCAGAACCAAGAACACAACCTGATTGGAGTGGTAATGTTTCACTTCTCCCTAGGATGATACAAAACTAATAGAGACCTGGGGTTGAACTTAATTCATTACATATAGATGCCTTAGGCAGTGGTCCTCAAAAGTGTGGTCCATCTGTGCCTTACCCTCCAACAGTCTGTGTTTTAACAAGCTCTGCAGAGGATTCTGATGCTCACCCTTGAGAACTTTTAGCCTATAAAGGGTTAGAGTAGATTTGATTTGTAATATAATCTTTTCAAGTAAAATAGAGATATTACAATAACAAAGGGGGGACGTGTGTGCTTCTTGTACTTTGATGGTGTGACACTCCTAGTAGATCTCCTGCAGGTGGCCCATATTGCAGACATCTGGAGAGCCAGGTGGGCCCTGTCAAGTGTAGTAAATGAGTGAAGGCTGTCCTCAGGGTGCCACCTGCTGTCTCTCAGGGTGCTATCCTGCAGGACTGGTTGGGCAATAGCTGTCAGATCACCTCAGACCTAGGCGATCAGAACCATCTTCTGCTCGTGGGAACCATGCCATGGCTCCCTGCCTCACCAGAATCCAGGCCCGCCAACCTCACACTTCCAGCCAGCACTTCATTTTGCTTGTCCTTCTTTGTTGCAGTCGCAGGAAACTTGAGTGTTACAACACACTTGGCACTGTGTGGTTGATTTCTGTCTTAACTGGACATCCAGAGAGAGATTTGGTAAGAATAGGAGGCAGCAGGAGTGCCTGGCTGGCTCACTCAGTGGAGCATGACTCTTGATCTTAGGGTTATGAGTTTGAGCCCCACGTTGAGTGTAGAGATTACTTTTAAAAAAGGTGGGGGGGTGGTGCGCCTGGGTGGCTCAGTTGTTAAGCGTCTGCCTTCGGCTCAGGTCACGATCCCAGCGTCCTGGGATCGAGCCCCACATCGGGCTCCCTGCTCAGCGGGAAGCCTGCTTCTCCCTCTCCCACTCCCCCTTCTTGTGTTCCCTATCTCACTGTCTCTCTCTGTCAAATAAATGAATAAAAAATCTTTAAAAAAAAAAAAAAAGAAACCTCCTCCTGATACTAAATACACGAACTGTTCAGTCACATTTCCCTTAACCCATGTTCTAGCCGCTGTCACCCATGACCTTTGGCTTTCCTCATGGCTCGAAGTAGTGCCTGGACAATAGCTATGGAGGCCACTAGTGTAAGCTATTCATTAGCTGTCTCTCCCTCTTGGTCCTTTTGATCCCACACTTGCTTCTATTCCTCCACTCTCTACATAGAAGAAATGTTCAGCTGCTGACTACTGACCAGATCGAGAGAATACTTTGGGGGCGCCTGGCTGGCTCAGTTGGAAGTGCATGTGACTCTTGATCTAGGAGTTGTGGGTTCAAGCCCCTGGCTGGCTCAGTCGGAAGTGCATGTGACTCTTGACCTAGGAGTCGTGGGTTCAAGCCCCATGTTGGGTGTAGAGATTAGAGATTACATACATACATACATACATAAACAAACAAATAAGAAAGAGAATGAGAGAAAGAGAATACTTTGTTTTGGGCTTTGGAGAAAGATGTCAAGCTGCAGAGTGGGCCAGGGGGCCTGTGCTTCACACATGGATCTCAGCCAGGACCTGGAAACCACATAGGAGGACAAGTGACCATTGTCTTCTGTGACCTTGGAGGCCTACTCTATGTGTTGAAAGATAAATTGGCCATTGCAGAGAGGGCTTTGGAGTTGACTTAAGAGAAATACATATATAACACTTTTCCTTCAGATGCCTGCAAAGCAGAATAGTGATTTAGGAAAAGTCCAGGTTTTGTAAGCAGAGTTGGATTTGAACCTTGGTCTTCCACTTTCAGCCTTTGGTTGATCACTCACCTTTCTGAGCCTGGGTCTGCGATTGTCAGATGGTCATAGTCTCAAGAAGCTCAGAGGGATAATAGGCACCCAGTGTGCGGGTTCTTCTCCCCATGGCGATGCTTAGTTCCATTGTTTTGTGGGTCAAGTTTACTTAAGCAGGAAATGGAAAGTAATTCAGTAAATGTTCCTTTGGCTTCTCACCACTGCAAAACCTTTCTCTTTGTAGCTCTGGATTTACTGGACAAAATGTTGACATTCAACCCTCACAAGAGGATTGAAGTAGAACAGGCTCTGGCCCATCCGTATCTGGAGCAGTATTATGACCCAAGCGATGAGGTAAGACCCATACTCCTGGCTGCTTCTTCAGGAATATCTATCAGCCAGCATCAGGCCCAGCCAGGAAGGGCCCAGATGTCATGCTTAGATCGATCCTGAGAGGTATATGGTGCCACACCTGGTCCTCTCAGTAGCCCACATCATCTGCCTTGAGGACTAGTGCTGCCAGCACAGCTTGAAACCTCTCCCCACCCCAACCCCCAAACCCCTTCTATCTTAGAAAGCTTCCTCCAGGCCACCTGCAGCAGGGGTGGGCCTGCGGAAATGAATGAATAAAGGGGAGCATAGATAAACAAGGGGTCCAAGGCTAGAGACCACTGTCATGGTTTGTGGCAGAAAGAGGTGCCTAAATCAGAGTGCCTGCCTGAGGGTGGAAAGGAGGCCAACTGCCTGCTTGGGGAGGGGCATTGCAAAGCGGAGGCGGGGGGCAGCTTGGACAGTTCCCACTGTGGCTTCATGACTTCGTGTCTGGTGTGCCTCCTTGGGGATGGGGACACAAGAGCCTTTTGTGGTGAGAAATGAGTCCAGAGATGGATGTGGCAGGCCTCTGGAGCATGCTGGACAGCCAGGTAAAGATACTGTGTGTCATGTTCTCTCTAGGAAAGTCCCAGTTCCCTGGCCTCTTCGAGTCTTCTGGGGCTTTATTCTCTGGACGGTAATGAAGAAAAATGCAATATAAACCAAAGTTTGGATCTTTCTAGTTGAGGCTCATGTATAGACAGCAAGCCTTCACACTCTGGTTTTAAAAGGGGGGAGAACCAAGTGGAGCATGTTAAAGGGGAAAATGGAAGATGATAAAGAGAAGAAATCAAAAAGAGGAAGTATTTCGGGCGCCTGGGTGGCTCAGTTGGTTAAGCGACTGCCTTCGGCTCAGGTCATGATCCTGGAGTCCCTGGATCGAGTCCTGCGTCGGGCTCCCTGCT